TAATATATTATTTTTTTTAATGTCAAGTATACTAGATTAAGATAAACGATATCTGTTAGGACAKTCAGCCCCCCCCCCGGGGGGTAGGTTATACACACTAGTTTATGGGGTCTATGGGTATAGATATATATACAGTAYATATGGGTTATACAGTCAGTATACTGTATATTATATACAGTATATACAGTCTACTAGTTTTTGAACGATGATAAAGTGTAAACCAACTTAAAAAAAAATAAAATATAATAAATGATAATAAATGAAAGTTTTTTTTAATCATTATATATATATTTATTATTTATCTCTAATATAAATTAAGTATTTACTTATAGYTTATATAAGAGGACAGGTATGCAATTATTATCGGTATGTATGTATGTATGCTGTTATTTGGTTGGTCTATAACCCGAAATATTTTACATTAAATATATATATATAAAGTCAATAATTTATTACTATTTGTTTTTGTTTGAAAAAATATGATAAATATATACATAAATTATTGAGAGATTTTTTTTCTATTTTCTATATCAACAAAAAAATATATGTATAATAATATGATTATTAAAGTTATTATTATTCAAAATAGAMAAATAGATTATATATTATTATTATTAAGTCATAAATAGTTTTTTTTGTATGAATTAATGAYGAAAATAGATAATATTTAAGACTTMTTTAAAAAATATTATATATATWTRTATATWWAAATATTTAATATTTAAAWGACAACAACAAAAATAACTTATWATAAAAATCATATAAAATAATGGGTTTAGAGAGTGTGTGTGTATATAAAAAACAAAATTGTAATATAAAATAATATCATAATAAATATAATTTTAAAAAAAAATTTATTATATCTTTTTATTTAGTTTAAACCGACAAAAAAATGTATAAATTATTTTAAAATTCATAGGATGTCTCTCTCTCTCTCTCTCTCTCTCTCTCTCTCTCTCTCTCTCTCTCTCTCTCTCTCTCTCTCTCTCTCTCTCTCTCTCTTGTCTATCACTCAATCCCCTGCCGACAAAAAAAWCAAAAAAAAAAAATAATTTATTTTATTATTAATCAGAAAAAAATAACAATAAGTTTTTTAGTTTTATGTGTCTATGTTTTTATATATGTAAGTGTGTTTGTGTGTATGTGTGTGTATGTGTGTGTRTGTGTGTGTATGTGTGTGTATGTGTGTGTATGTGTGTGTATGTGTGTGTATGTGTGTGTATGTGTGTGTATGTGTGTGTGTGTGTGTGTGTGTGTGTGTGTGTGTGTGTGTATGTGTGTGTATGTGTTTGTATGTGTGTGTGTGTGTGTATGTGTGTGTATGTRTGTTTATGTGTATGTATGTGTATGTGTTTGTATGTGTGTGTGTATGTGTATGTATGTATGTGTATGTGTGTGTCTAAAATAATATCTGCAAATTAATTACAATTTATATATATATATATATATATATATATATATATATATATATATATATATATATTCACTTTCAGTATGTATTTAGATATTATCATAAATTTATGATATTATTATACTGTATTAATGAGTGTCTCTAATATATTACTGGTATATATATATATATATTTAAGAGGATATGATATGTGATGACTATCAATGAATATTAATAAATAAAATAAAATGTTTAGTGATTTAAAAAAATAAATAAATACAATATATATGTTAAACAATAAAATCTAGAGATAAATAAAAAAAAMYWAAAAGTAATACTAAAACAATAGTTGTTTTGTTAATATTTAAAACACATTTAACACTATTGTTATCATTATTATTATTATTATTATTCAGTAAATGATTTTTAACTTTCATTTATTTATTATTATTATTTTTATATAAAAAATCTTACATTTAGTATAAGTTTTTTTATAGTTGAAAAAAATTTGTTTTTTTTTTTTGAGTTAAAAATTTGTATTTTTATTTAATTTTATTTAGTTTTTTAAACKATATATATTTTTTTTAAATACACTGTTTATCATCTCATGTGAACTAATAAACACTTATATATATATWTATATGTAGTTTAAAAGTTTATACTCTGTATTATAGTAGTACAGTAAAAGTTAGTTAATAGTGACCCATATTATATATATATATACCTCTAGCTTATGGAGTATTTATTTATTTATTTATTGTATTTTTTAATCCATGATTTCTGGTTAACCCTATTTGTGATCATCTTTTTTTTTGTTATAATAAAATATTTATTTTTTTTTGTTATTATAATAATATTAATAATAATGTATAAGTTATTAGAAATTTTTTGTTTGTTTTCATATCATAAATTATTTTCAAAAATAAAAAATAAAAATCATACTAAATATTTTGTGTAAAATATAATTTTTTGTTTCAAAAATATATATATATATATATATATATATATATATATATATATATATATATATATATATATATATATTGAATGTATAGATGAATATCGGAAAAACGTTTTTTATTTTATTTATTTATTTTTTTTTTTTTTGTTTGGACTCATATTTCAAATAATTTTAACAAAAATAATAATTAATAAATATTTTTTTTAATACATAATATTCTAGATATTTAGTGATAACATATGTGTTAGAGAAACCAAAAACATAAAAAAAAATATTTTTAAATAAAACTAAATATTAATAATGAAATAATAAAAATAAYACTAAAAAATATTATTTTTTATTTAAAATAAATAAAATTAATAATAATAATAAATAATCATATTTTTGTTATTGATAAACTTTTTTTTTATWTAAACATAAACCATATTTTCATTATTATTATTAATTTAATAATTAATATTTTTTGTTTTATTTAATGATWAWTACATTTAAAAAAATTTAAAAACAATACATACAGTGTATTCATYATTATTTATGATTTACTTTTTTATTAAATATTTTTATTTTAATTGATGTTTTAATAACTTATTCAAACATTTTTGTTATTATTATTATTATTATTATTAAATATTAGTTAAGTACTTATAATTTCAATCAACAAAATACAACATTAATTATATATATATTAATTAATACCCATTAACTYGTRTTTTAACTAAACTATGATTTTATTTATTATTAAWAACAAAAAAAAACATTTTTAGTATTTTTCAAGATTTTGTTTGTTTGAATGTATCAAATAGTTTGTTAACTCTCTCTCTCTCTCTCTCTCTCTCTCTCTCTCTCTCTCTCTCTCTCTCTCTCTCTCTCTCTCTCTCTCTCTCTCTCTCTCTCTCTCTCTCTCTCTCTCTCATTGATGGTTTGCATTGCCATTCAATTATTATTATTATTATTATTATCATCATCTCTACCCTTCATTTATTAATTACCTGTAAATCATGAAAATTGTTTGTTTATATACAATATATATATATATATATATATATATACAGTACTTAATAATACTAATAGTTTTAATTAAGTTAATTAGTAATTCAAGTATTTGGCATTTTTTCACACATTATTATTATTATTAACTATTAATTTAATATTTGTTTATATATACTGTATATATATATATATATATATATATATATAAATGGTTTTATACATCATTGAACTAAATTTTTTTTATTTAATTCATGTATAATAAAAATTTGTTGAAGAATATACCATTCAATAAAAAAATACTAAAAAATTGTATATAATATATATATATATATATATATATATATATATATTTGTTGATCATATCTCAAGATATTAAAAGATATAATATTTATTTAATTTTTTTTAATGAAAAAAAGGGTTAAAACTCTAATAAAATACAATAACATTGATTGTGATAAGCAATTAACTATTAAGTATTATATTACAAATTTTAATATTATTGAAAAAGTTTACAGTAAACTATTGAAACCAATTTAATTAAAAAAAATTTACAAAAAAATATTTATTATTAACTATTATAATATAGTTTTTTCCATTTGTTAATTARTCATAAAAATATAATTTTTAAAAAAATTATTAATTATATATCATATTTCAAGAATTATTAATTTATATATATATATTTGTAAAGATTTAATAAATAAATAAATTTTTATTACTATTATATAAAATGCATTAATAATAATATTTACTATTTTTAAAATGTTTTAAAAATTTAATCAAAAATTATTTTATATACAACAACAACAAAAACAATAATAGTAAATATAAATTATTACAAACAAAAAAAATTATGATTTTTTTGTTTGTTTGTAATAATTTATATTTCAATTTGTTAGTAATAATAATATATGATTGAAGGTAACAATAATATCAAATAATAACATAATTAAATTTTAAAAAATTTACCAAATTAACCATGATTAATTTTGTTTATTTTTTAAATGATTGAATATTATTGTATACAAAATAAATAGTCATTCAATAAAATACAATAATTGAAAATATAATTATTTATTTAAAACATTAAATTTTTTTWTAATAAATTATATATAGTATATATATGCACACATAGTTTATAAATAGTTTTTTTATTTAATTATAAAACAGTACATTAATTATTATAATTTTAAAAAAATAAATAAAAATCTAAATTAACAAAATTTATAATGACATTAATTATTAATTATATATATATTTTTAAAAATATTATTATTATTATTATTTTCTTGTTGTTTGCATATACATGAATAAATTATTTTAAATGATATTTAAAATTTTTAAAATTATTATTATTAATTTTATATWTATATAATAATAATATAGTTGATGATTCAAAACACACACACACATACAGTATTTTTAATWAAAATACATGATTTGAATATATAATTAACAATTAATTATCTATATATATATATATATATATATATATACTATACTATACTATTAGTACAATAGTACTATACTATTGATAATAACTAATTAAAACAATATATATATATATATATATATAATATTTATGTTAATTAATTTTCAATAGACTATTGAATAATTTATTTTTCAAATATATATTTATTATTATTTTTTAAAATAAAGGTCTACTCTATGGGCCCAAACAGCCGCTATCGGTACTGATGACCGACTACGACAACTATGCCGTCACCTATACGTGTACGCGCCGTACGTTCGGGCATCGGCAACAATTGACCGTTATGTCGCGTACAGCCAGTCAGCTACCGGAGCTATACATGAACAAAATCTACCGATACATCTATCGATTAGGACTACTGGCCGGCGGCCGGTCATCGGTTCAATTGCAAAACATCAACCAACAGGACTGTCAGCAGCCGGAGATCAACGAAAACGGTTATCCAATCAATAAGCCCTGGTATTATCATTTGCACAATCAATATAGCAGTGGTGGTAATGGTGCTGATGGTGTGGGTGCTGCTGACCATCATATTGTCGACAATGAAATTGACGATCCGTTTGATGATAAATATTGGTGAACACACCCATCACCCTAACCACCCATCCATCGTCTAATACTTGTATATATATATATCTGTATCTATCTATCTATTTATATAACTTATATACAACAACAACAACAAAAAACTACCGGTGCTATCGTGATGTTTGTGGGCGCCTATGTATTGGGGGGGGGCCTGGTATGCAAGATTATTATTTTTAAAAATAAATAAATAATAATAATAATACTGTAATATGCTATCGACATATCCTCTCTCTATCAACCAAACATGACATCCCATTATATAACTCATACATAATTATATATATATATATATATTCATTATAAATATATATAAATGTTTTTTTTAATTATATGATATAATTAAATTAAATATACAAAAAAATAAATAATAATATCTGAAAACATATGTTTTTTATTTAAAAATAATAAAATAAATATCTAATTAATATTTTTGGGATTACATTATGTGTGAATATATTTATGATAAAAGGGTTTTATTTATATATATATAAAACATAATAATTATGTAAATATATTATTAAAATATATATAGTTATTTTTTTGATACTAATTATGTAACAGTACAACGATTTTTTCAATGATGTCTATATTATTATTATTATTATTACATAATAGTAATATTTTATTATATATTTTTTTGGTAATAATATTTAGTATCATTTCCTCAACACATATATTGATATAATATATTACTACTACTACTACTACTACTGTATGTAATATCATATTTTTTTTTGGGTAAATTTTTTTAAAAACATTTTATTATTTAAATATTATCAACTTATTGTGAAATATTAATAATAATTATTAATAATAATTATTATTATTAATTATTACATTTAAAACAAACAAAAAATAGTTAAATAATTGTTTATTTTCAATGCATTGATATTTTTTTACAATTTAATTAGCCAAACAATTTTGTTTTTAAATAAAAAAATAATTATATAATACATAAACATATTATAATTTTTGCCATAAAATTTTATGTGTTATCATATATATATATATACAATATATTATTGTAACTTATTTTTATCTATTAATATTATTATACTATTATTATTATTATTAATTATTTTTTTAAAACTATTTATTACATTTACAATCAAAATAATTGTTGTATTTTTTGTCATTGAAAAAAATAAAAATAACTAAACGTTATTTTATGTAATATGTATTGTATATATATATAATTTTAATAAAAATAAATAAGATATAAATGTGTGTGAAATTTAATATTACAATGATTTTGATTTATATTTAATATAATAAATTATAAACAAAATGGTTTTTATATTAAATCAAATTAAACATATTAGACAATTTTGTAACCAACAAAAAAGTTATGTAATATTAGAAAATATTTAGTTTTATGTATTTTTTTAGTATTATTACTATTATTATTTGAAAATATATTGTCTGTAAAAACCCTGATTTAATTTATATATAAAAAAATAAATAATAAAATTCATTAAATTCCTATAATATTATTATTTTATTCATATATAACTTATTATATATTATCATTGATTGTGGTTAAAAAAAATGTGTGTAATTTTAATAAAATTATTTTATTGCTAATCTGATTGTAATTTAATATTGTGTTTTACCATTAATAAAAAAATCAATGAAACAAACAAACAAATAATAATAATAATAATAATAATAATAATAATAATAATACTGTATTATTATAGTATATTATATTACATGTATATCATATATACTGTATAAATATATATCTTAAGTATGTAATCGACAATTAAAATTAGTTTTTTTATTTAAATAAATTTTTTTATAATACACATATTTTAGTTTAGCAATAATTATTATGTTATATATATACATTTGATTATGTATATATATTTGATTAAAAATAATTTTTTAAAAAAATTATAAATATATAGGTTTAAATCAATTGTGTCTAATGTTATAATTTATTAAAACATTTTTATTTTTGTTTGTTTGGTTGGTTTACAATTATAATTATTTAAATTATTTTTGCGATATCTTCYCAATGTGTTTATAAAATATTAGATGAAAAAATTTAATTAATTTCAAAAAACAAATGTTATTTATTTTAATTAAATTATCAGAAATTTTTAACAACAAAAAAATTGTTGTYTCATTTAGTTAAGTGTTTTTAAATTTMTAWAATTAATATTTATTTACATAACTTAATATCAATTTATWAAATCTMATAAACATTAATAATACTAATTATTATTATCTATTTATTTATAGATATATTATTAATATTTATATATAATTAATCTATAAATTTAAAGTAAATATATTGAATATTTATTATAAGTTTTGATTATAAATGATTATAATTTATAATAATAATAATAATAATAATAAAGTCAACAAAATATCATATACTATTTACAGTAAATAATTAATTTACAATTATAATTATTTTGAACAATTTATTTATAGTTGACAACAATTTTTTAAATGATACAAAAATAATTTTTATTATTATATTTTATGATTTATTTATTTTTATTAATTTATTTAATTTGATAGCACATTGTAACTAAAAACTATAATATATATTAAAATTATATATATATATATATATATAYATATATATATATATATATATATATATATATTTAATAACAATCAAATAAATTTTTTTGTTAATTAAATTTGTTATATAAAATAATAATAATAATAATTGTGACATAAAATATTGTATTACTATTAATAATAAAAATATTATTAATAATAATAATATACTGTTTAAATAATTATCACACAGTTTTTATTTAATAAACTATTTTAATAATAATAATAATTATTATTATTATAATCATAATATCCTTTTTCCTCGACATTAGTTTTTTTAATGTTGTGATCTGTTAGTCAAAACTGTTTATCAATTTTATGATATAATTTTTTTTTGTAATAATAATAATAATAAGGAAGTATATCCTATATTTAATAATAACATTATTAATAATATTAATGTTATAACTTATATTAAAATATATAATATAATATAAACACATAGACAGTAAAGTACAGTATGTAAAGTGTTTTTTAAATAAAATAATTTTAAAAATTTTTTATCGAGAGTTCAAATCAATTGATTATATTATATAATAATAATAATGTGATGCAAAATACATCAAATTAATGGGTTTTTTTAATATAAAAATAATAATAATTGTTTTTAATATCAAATACATATATTTATATTTTATATGTATTGTATTTGTAATTGATTTTGATAACACATGTTTGATAATACAGTTTAATAATAATAATAATAAATAAATAAATTTTTATATAAAGGAAATTGTGATCAGAAATAAATCATTTATAATGATTATTATATATTTTTATAATAATAATAAGTATTATATTGTTGTTTTTAATCATCGATAAATATGTAATATATATATATATTTAATACAATGACCCAGTTTATATTTTTTTAAACATAAAAAATTTTATTTATTTATTTATTAAAATTTTTTTATAAAATAAATATTTTTTGATCTAGTGCAATTTTCTATAATATATGAAAAAAATTATGATGATGATGATTAAATTAATAATTGGTAAATAACTATTATTATTATTATTTTTTTTTGTTGTCATAATTACTGTATAAATATGATTATTATTATTAAAATTATTTAGTATATCTCATCAAATTTTTATTTGAATAATAAATAATTTTATATCATTTATCTATTCAATCAATACGTAAAATGATTTAAATAGGTTTGACATCGTTTTTAATATTAAAATAATATTTGTATTTTATTTTTTTTTAAATAAAAATCAAACATAACTTTTACAATAGTTTTATTTATTTGTTTGATTAAACTTATCATTTATACAATAATATATTGTAATAATAATACAAGTATTTATTTCCCAAATTTTTAATGATTTGTAATTTAGTAAATAAAATAAAATAATATAAATGAATAAATAATATAAAAGTATTTCTCAAACATTTTTAGTCAAATCAATCAATCAATTAATTATTATTATTATTAATTCATATAATTTCATATAATTTCATAATTTATTGACTAAATTATAGTAAATAATGTGTATATCAGTACACAGTATATCATTATATCTAATGTTATGTCTATTGACTATCAAATTAATATCAGTGTATATTTTAAAGTTAAAAAATATTAATATATATATATATATATATTATGTATTATTTATTAATATATACATGTATATATTCAATAGTAATTATTAATTTGAATTTTTCCCGAAATTTTTTTTAACTCTCTCTCTCTCTCTCTCTCTCTCTCTCTCTCTCTCTCTCTCTCTCTCTCTCTCTCTCTCTCTCTGTTTCGTACATAATATCCTTGAATTATTATTTTTATTTTTATTTTTTTTTTGATAATTGTTTGACAGTTTAAAATTTCTGATATATTTGATTAATATATATATATATATATATATATATACATATATAAAATACTGTAATATGTAAACTATATATAATATTATATAATTATTATTAATTGCTATATTCAGTTAGCAAAAAAAATGAGGGGGGAGTGGAAGGGGATATATATATATATAACTTAATATATATATATAACTTAATATATATATATATATATATGCATAGCTACAAGTTTTTAAAAAATTTAAATTCAACTAAAAATATATTAATAGTTTAGTTATTCACTTCAAGTTATATATATATATATACTGTACTTAAAAAAAATTTCTCCCTGTGCTTGATAAGTTAGGTCCATTTAATTTGTATTTAAAAAAACCTATTACTACTACTAGTAATGACATCACTGTGACTATAGTAGTAGTAGTAGTAGTGTTAGTACAGTATAAAAGTATATATTTTTAGTATATATATATATACACACAGTGTATATATATGTACTTAAATATCTATAATAAACTGTATGTATATACAGTATATCTACTGTATATTTATAGAAGTAATACAAAATAAAATAATTTATAATTTATTTATCATTAATTGGCTCATATTTTTAACACTCATATATATATAATTTAATTTACTGTATGTATGTCTATGTATTTATATCTATATATATATATATGAAAAACCAATATCTGATAACCAGTAGGACAGGTATAACCTCTCTCTCTCTCCCATCTATTTCAGTGTATTTTTCAGTAAAATTTTTTTGAGTAAATTGAGATATTTTTAGTATAATTTTATTTGAAATTTTATTTTATTATTTTTCAGTGGTCTAAATATATATACAAATTTGAAAAAAAAAATTTTTTTTGGGGATTTTATGAGATTATAGTTATTATTATTATTATTATTGTTTTTGTTGTTGGGATTTACAATTGTGTGTCTATTTAAACATAAAACATAAATTGTAAGTATTTTTTATTTATTTATTTTTTTTGTGTATAATTTACCTAAAAATATATACTGTATAATGAGTTATGTAAAACAATTGTAATTTTAAATTAAAAAAGTATTTAAAAAAAAATAAATAAGTTTTACTAAAATAGCATTTTTTAATATATAAATATTTTTTTGGACTTTATGTTTGATTTTTTTTTAAAAACAAAAAGTTTATGTAATAAAACTGTTTGTATAATTTGTGGTAAATTTTTTTTTTAGAAAAAAATTTATTTATAAAACTAAAAAAAATATCACGGATTTCCATTAGTAATAATAATAATAATAAAAACAATAGTAATTATTATATATTTTTTGAAAATAGATATTTAGGTTTTAATATCCGATTATTTTTCCGTAATATATTGAAAGTTATTTATAAAATATTTTTATAATTAAAACTATTTTGATTTAACTAATATGACAACTAAATCAATGATTATAAACTTATATAATAATAATTATAATAATTTTAAAAATTAACAAAAGTAATAGTCTATTAAATATTATTATTTTTAATATATTATAATATTATATTGTAATTTAATACTGTATTTGATATGTATGTATAAAATACATGTACTGTATATTAAAAAATTGATTATACATTGGACTATACAATCAAAATAGATGTAAATTTATTTGATTTTTTTTTATTGAATATAATGTTTTTGATTTTTTGATAGATTATACATAAAAATTTACATTTTTAACAAACAAAAACAACAAAATTAATTAATATTAATATTCACTCAATTATATTAGCAATAAATGATAATTTTTTTTTGAATTCAAGTTTGAAATGTTTAAAATTATTATTAATATAATTAATTGATAAGTATTTTTGTTAATTTGCAAAAAAATTTTTTTTTCTAGTTTATTAAGTTGTCGTAAAATTAATTAATTAATATTATTAATAATTTTTATTATCACTATTTTAAATCAATTATTACTGTATTACATGATTACTGATTACAAGTTTTTTTTTGAAATAAAAAAATAAACCACAAGTTTTAATAACTACTGTTTATAACTTAATAAACATTTATTTATATTTTAAATATTATTATTTATTATTATTTATTATTATATTATATTTTTTCCTTATTATTTAGTATATAAAACAATTAATTAATCATAAAAAAAATTTACTAATAATGTTAACAAAAAAAATATAAGTGTGATAGCTTTAAAGTTTAATTTTTTATTTATTTATTAAATATTTATAAAAAAAAATATTATGAATAATATTAACTGTTGCTATTGATGTCAAATTAATATTTATAATATTGAAAAATAATAACAATTTTTTTTATTTAAAAAAAAAAGTATTAAATATAAATTTTTGATATTTGATGACACATTGATAATAATAATGACATATAATTAATTAATATACAGTAATATTTTTTTTTAAATGATTTAATTAACTTATGTTATGTAATATTTTTTTCAAAAAATTATTTTTCAGTAATACTTATATTTTTTTTAAAATATTCAATTATTTATTTGTAATTTTAAAAAAAATCTAATTTTATGCCACAAAATCTATTAATAAATTATATACAAAACAAAAAATATATCCCAAAAATACGTGTTGTGTCGTACGTGTCATATATAACGAGTTATTTTTATTTTTAAAAAAAAAATTAAACAAAAATGTTATCAATTTTTCAAAAAAAAAAATATTTTTCAACTTATAAATAACTAATCAATCAAATTATTAATTTATTAATATGTTTGATAACTATTTATAACAACTATAAAAATCAATAGTTTATTTAAAATTTTTATAATAAATAACCAAATTTATAAATATAACAAATATTTTATAGATATATATGTTTTATATTTTTTAATTAATTTTTTTTTTAATAATTATATATCATTATGAATCATATTATATATAAAAATTAATGTATTAATTGGTGTCATTTAATTAGTAATAATATTTTTTTTCCACTAATATATTAAGTAAAATAATAATGATTTTTGAAAAAAAATAAAAATATCATATAAATAATAATATATTTAGTAAAATTTTTTTTAAAACAGTTATATAACTGATTGATATTGTATTTAAAACACTTTATTAACTAAATATTTTTTGCAATTTAACATTTAATTATTTATTTTTTTAATATTTTTTTATAAATATTATTAATATTAAAATTAATATTAAAATTAAAAACATTCAGAAAACTGGAAATTTCTGTGATTTTACTTATCATTGATTATATACTGTAGTGAGTAATGAAAATAAAAAATATATTTATTTATTTTTTTAAAAATACTATTTATTTAGTTTAATGTTATTATATAATTACAACATTTATTTTATTTTTTTACTAAAACTTAATTAAATTAAATTTTATTACGTAAAAACTAAAATGCTAATTTTTTAATTTTAAATTAACTGTATATAATAAATTTAATGTATATATATATATCACATGTATATATATATGTAAATAAATATATATAAATTATAGTAATATTATATGTAACCTCCTATTGACGTAATATAATAATAATAATAATAATAATTTATATTAATTTTAATAACAACCAAAAAATTCAATTCAATTTATTAAATAATTTTTTGTTTGTTTTTTTTATTAAATTGTTATTTATAGGGATGTCTTCAATCAATAGGATATGATATGACATATCAAACGATATAATAATACTAATAATACTAATCATACCATCAAATGATAAAATTATGGATCAATCGTTTGCCACTACCACACAACCAGCACCAGCACCTGCACCACCATCAACAACATCAATGATGATAATGGATCAGCTATACAATAATTATAGTGACCTTCAATTGGACGACCAGACACTGGATCAGATTAGTCAGCTATTGACGCCATTGCCGACTACTACAATTAGTAGTAGTGGACAACCATTACGGGCACCACTACTACCCCCACAACCACCAGTAGCAGCAGCATCGGTGGCACAGTTACCCGATTTTAGACAACCATACTCTCAGTGTAATACCCAACACCACAACAACATCACCAACAATATTACCGTACCGTTCAATGATCTAAGCAATTGTAGCGGCCGTAACATATTGACTGACCAAACATATCGTTTACCGCAAACTAATACTAATAGTATACCTAATAATAATACCGACTATTATACTAATATTAATTGCAATACTATTGGTAGTAATCATCACATCTCCAGCACTTCCAGTAGTAGTAGTAATAATAATAATAATAATTTTATATATAATGTCTATCCGACTGATAATTACTATAATAATCAAAATCAAAATCAAAATTTATTAGACAATAGTTTGATTCAACCAATTGATGTTTTTAACATAAATACTAATAATAATAATAATAATAATCAAAATTGTATTATTGATGGTAATTGTTTTGCCCAAACAAATCAGTCATCATTATCATCATCATCGACATCGACATCATCACCATTACCACCATTACCACCACAATCATCATCAGTGATAAACATCATCAGCAATAACAGTGAAAACCAACAACTAATACATCAGCCGCCACTAGTTAATCATCACCGACGGCAGCCACTGACCACCGCTGACCATCACGACTGGAACCAATTGGTCGATATTATCGATGTCGATAAATTGCGCGGCCGATTGGTGGCCAACTGTGATGAATATTGTCGTAAAATTATACGCGATATGAATACCGTTGGTGTATCGGTTTTGGATGAATTTATGGGCCACGAGTTGGGCGAACTGGTCGTCCAGGAAGTCCTACATCTCTATCATACGGTATTTGATTTTATTTATTTTTTTTGGATATATTTTTTGATATATTTTTTGATATTTTTTTTTGTTGATATTTGAATTAATTAATTAATTATATTAATTATATTAATGTAGTTTTTTATACAAATATTAATAATAATAATAATAACTATTTTTTCAATATTTAATATTAAATGTTATTATTTTATTTTAATTTTATTTTTTTTTGGATAATTTGATTTGTTTTTTAATTATTTTTTAATTAATTAATTAAGTTTTTTTTATATTAATGTAATGTACTTTTTTAATAGAAATATTATTAATAATATTAACTATTTTTTTAACTAATTATTTTATTTTTTGGATAATTTTTTATTTTATTTTCTAAATTTATTTTCTTAATAATAGTTAATTAATTACTAATTTACTATTTAATATAAAAACAATAGGTAATATGAGATTTAATAATAATAATAATAATAATAATAATAATAATAATATCATTATTTATTAATTATGTTTGTATAATTAATTTATAAAAAAAATAATGATAAAGGTCAATAATATATATATTATTTATTTAAATTTATTATTATTATTATTATTATATTGAATGTAAACATTTTTTGTTGTTGTTAAAAAATATTACCTTGGTCTGTCTCTATATGTTATTTATTTATATTTTTTATTTTCAAAATAATAATAATAATTATTATTATATTAATATTAATACAGTATAACAAACAAAACAAATTTAATTTATAATTTATTTGAAACATTA